TTAAATGGAGCCTAAAGCTCTCAATTTGGGAAAAACTTCCTTAACTCAGCTATGATTCTTTGTTAATTTGTATTAGTGATTCCAAATAACACACAGTTCACTATACACTCAACGTGAGTTCTAGTTCACCTTGGTATTCTTCTATTAACAAATTTTAAAACTTTGTAAATATATGAAACCACAACCAAAGGTGTTATTATGACAATGTTTTAGTTAGAACAAACTGTTAACATGCAAAAGGTTAAAACCATGAAACAAAACATCTTCCCTTTATAACAAACAGTCGATCTCCCCCTCTTTTTTCCTAGCCCACGGTTTTTGTAAAATTATACAACACCAAAGTAGGAACTACTGAAAGCCAAGTCATAAAGGTTGAACAGAAACTAGTCACCTGGAAGCTGTTTGGAGTAGCTTGAGATGGGTAGATTGAGAACATTTATGCATGTATTGGCAGTGGGCATAAACGCATCACCACATTCAATGAAATTGATTTCTGGTGATAAAACAAATCCTAGTGTAGGTTCTTCATCTGTTCCACACACAAACTGCAGCACATGACCAAGGTTAAGGGTGTTATTTCCTGACACTCTCCTTCCAGCAGCAACTTCTTTAATGTAACGAATAAATGCAGCATATACTTCCTTCTGGTATTTTCCTGCATTTGAACCTTCCTCACTGAGTTTAGGAGTAAGAAGATTAGCAAGCTTCTCCACACTGAGAGCACTTGCCTCACTTGGAATGAAGAGATACATGAAAGTGGGTAGTTTCATCAACAGCTGGAGAACACCAACTTTACGAAACCCTCTCATGAGATTTCTTACACATGATGATGATGAGTGGCCATTTGCTAGTTCTTTAAGAATGTTTCCAGGGAAGAATTGAGGAATTTTACCATTCTAAAGAACACTGAGCCCCATTACAATGCCAGCTGGCTTGTATTTTTCAGACAAATCTTCTCGTAACACTCCACCTTCAAAAAGTTGTTTTTAATCTCAATCAGCATCAATCGAAAAAACTCCTTCCTAGGGCCTCCAAAGTCCCTTGCAGCCTCGCCAATAAAGTTCACTTCCAATGGTAACCTGAAGTTACTTATTGTGCTTATTTCCTCAAATCCCAATTCCAGTAAATTCTCTCTGTCAACCAGAATAAAATTGGTTTCCCCTTCAATTTCAATTGATACATCTGCTGTCTCCAATGGTCTACCATTTAGAATCTTCCTTTGAGCATACTTTAGTATTTCAACAGGGTTTTGCACAACATTTACACAGTAATTTATGATCTCTTGGGTGATTATATCCATTTCTGTAAACTCCTTATCTTCAGTAAGGTCAATAGTTTCCCTCTTGTCAACTGAATAGCACAATATGCTCGCTTCTTATAGCGTTCATTATTACATACAATGAAAACGTGGAAAGAAAGACAGAAATTTAACATAATGTAATCGCCTAGTGTTGTTTGAATATTATACTTAAAAAGCTAATAGATTTTTTAACAGTCTAATGTTCTTTTAAAATTGTTCAGTGCATCATCTGGACTAAAAAAAGTTGGAAATGAACATCTAAATTGCAGAGTGTTAAAGTGCCACTGAAACGAAATTTTCGTATCTGTGATTTTTGCATGGTAATAAAGTTTGAACATTACTAACAAGCGCTGTGAGTTTTTTTTGGTCCAATGGAGTGCGGAAAGCTTTCTTCTAGCCCTTTGAACTCGGTTAGTCGAGCCCAAAATTGGCGGCCATCTTGGCGCGGCCAAAACAGCGTCGTGACGTCACTGGTTGTATACATCTCAGAATTCCGAGTAAACCCCATGTGAGCATGGAGTGCGGCGAAAATGTTGAGAAGCCCCCAAAAAAATACTTGGGCAAGTACTGTGTTGCTGGTGAGCCCGGAAATGTAAGTTGTACTAATAACTCCAGAACAGAGGGCATATCGATGCATATGTGTCCTCCTAATGATGTAGCTTGCGAGAAATGGGCTCGCTTCGTGCGAAGACATCGGACAAAGCGGCAGCCATCGAAAATATCAGTACTGTGTTCCGTGCATTTCGAATTGTCAAACTTTAAGCAGCAACTCGATCTAAATCTCGGGGAAGGCTCTAGCTTCCTTTTAAACAAAGCGATGGTTAAAGAAGGATGCTTTGCCAACCAAAGATGGTGTACAGGAGCAAGAAAATGCCTTGTCCTCGCGTGAGCAAAGAATGGTAAGTATGTGCTTACAAAAGGTGTGAAATTCCGCTTGGCATTTGGACGAGGAATGAATACGCAGTTTGTTGCTTTAAGAACAGTACGGTTTGTTAATGGAGAAAAAGCGGGATGGTTCAAAATGCATTCCGCATCGAGACCGATAAATGTAAACTTCCCTCTGGAGTATTTCGTAACAGCAACTAACTTCACGCGCCCCAGCTAAGCGTGTAACACTGCAATTTCCTCACGTACACCTGTAAACAGAAATGTTTAGACTTCAGCCTGAAGGTTCAATCGAAAAATAAAAAATCACAGCTATGAGCTCTCACCAATTGTCTAAAGGAACTTGTCCTTCCAAACATTGTTCCAAAACGGAGAGCAAAATACCGTATTCGTATTCTTCTTCATCTTCGCCGCCGCCATTGTTATCGCCGTCTTCACTAGAAGCCAAGGGCTCGCCTTGGTACGGGGCAAAATCGCCATTAAATGCATAGTGATCTTCTCCATCACTGCCGGCACACGTATTCCCTCCCTTCGGAAGAAGATTCACCCGTTGAGGGCTCGTTTTCAGACATTATGGCGGACCGTATAATTACAAACAATGCGAAAGAAAAGACCCACGCTAGCAAGGTAAATACAACCAGTGATCTCAGCAATCGTTTTCATTCGTTCCCAGGGCCCGGACATATTTTGAAGCCGAAATGCGGTTTTCAACACTAAAAAAGACAAACTTTTCCTTTTTTCTGGCGAAAACAAATTAGCCAACGATAATCAGCGTGTTTCAAACCACTAAATTATGAAAAAATCTCAGATAGGAAAATTTCGTTTCAGTGACACTTTAAGTAATCCCATAAGAGAATAGTTTTGTTTAAAAAAAATTGAAGCATTCCACTTAACACTATCCCCTTATGTGATTACTTCGATGTTTATTTCAATTTTTTTTAGTTCTGATGATGAACTGAACAAATTCGAAAACGTTTGTCTGTTAAAAAATCTATTAGCCTTTTATTTATAATAATAAAGCAAAAGCATGAACAAATCAAAATGTAAATTTGAGGATCAGTTAGTCCCATTTTGAGCTACATGTATGGTACATTGTTGTTTCAATAATTACATGTATATCGCGCTCTAATAATGCCAGACAGATTTGATGATTGTAATAATTTCAAAAAAAAACTAACACAATACCAATGCAGCTATTAAAACGAAAGACAATACAATAGAATTAACTACTACCTTACAATATTACCTGCAGTAGTCTTATCAGCATCATGAAGTATAGCACTTGGGTCATCTTCTTTTTCTGACTTCTTTTCATCAAATTCGAAAGGGCTTTTATCAAACTCGGAGTCATCAAAGTCATCAGCAAATAAACGAACATAGACGGTGGTGGTGGATGCAATAGATTTCAACAGTATGCTGCCATCAATGTTTACTCCATTCGCTAACCGAGGCTTGATAAGTGTCCCATAACAGTTCTTTACAAACTCAAAATCGATATCCTTATCTGGGAATTGTGCTTTTACTTTGCTGTACAAAGTATTATCATTCCACGTTTTGTCAATCGCAAAACCTAAAATGACTCAATTTTTTCTTTCCAGTTGCAGCTTTTCTTCTCTTGCTTGTGGTGTTTTTTCAGTGTTTGCCCCGACAATTACAATATCTTTGATCGCACAATCCCCTGTTACAGTACGATTTGCTCTTCCAATATTACGGGATGACGATGCAACATTCTGGGGAGCATTGGTTGCGTTGCCCGATAGAGTTGGGAAACGAGAACGAAGCTCGCTGAGAACATTGCTAGGTCTACTTCCAGCTTGCCCTGGAGATTGGTTATCGGTACCAGAAGAAGATGATTGTCTGGCTGATGTATTTAATAGAGAATTAATCTATCGGATAGCGTTTAATGCTATATTAGCTATTCTCGTTTCTCTACTTGAAGAAGACATATTCCAAGATGGCGGCGACGGCAGCCCGTTTTGGCGGGAACTTACCCTTGACCCATACCTCTCTCCACAATGACCGCAATGCATCATGGATCCATAAAAATAAGCACACAATCCCCAAAATTTTTGAGTACCATGGAAAAAAATTTATACTATCATGATACAAAAAAAAATATGTACATATACATTAAAAAAATTTTGAATTTGTAATTTTTTCTTGCATGATACACAAAAAATCAGATACTAATGCAAACAAGAAAGCGACACAGATGCACTAAAACATGATAGTAGCATTAAAAAACAGTCCAGCCAATAGCATTTATTTAGAGTGTAATTTTGACCAGTATGGGCCTTCATAAGATCTTGGCTCGTTCGGCCAAACATAACAGGAAAAAGACAGAAAGTATCAGCATTTTATGAACGTCCCAAGCCCTCACGGCCTGGGATGTTGATAAGTAGAAATAGAAATGGAATACTTCACAGAAAGTATCCTGATCAGAGAAAGTTTTTAAAGACTACATTAACTCACTACATGAACTCACGGAAGGACGTAAATACTGGTTAAGTAGTCGTGAAAGGCAATTATAAGATAAGTATGAATCAAAACGAAGTGGCTGAGACTCTTGCCACTTTTTCAAAAACCTTGGTGCAAACAGCTGTGGTGCGCAGGCATCTAGTAATATCATAAAAATTATGCTATTTATCATGAATGACGACACATTGAGAATACGTAAGAGGATTTCTAGAGCACTAATCTTTCATCGTACCATCAATCCCGTGACCCTACCCAGAAATCACTGCGTCGACACTATCCTGATTTGCTATTTAGACGAAAGATAAGGCCCCAAAATGTGAAAAATATGCTGTCCTACCTTGCAAAACAGTTTTAGGCTTGTCGGAGGAAGAGCAACTTAACTGAGTATCTATAATCCCACTTGCTGGTTGGGTTGTCGCTTGAGATGTCTCAGAACTTTGCTCTATGATATAGAGACAGAATTGCAAATAGATATAGAATACTTTATGGAACATGATGAGAATTGCGTCATCCTTCATGCAAATTATGAGCTGATAAAATTTGTTGCGCTTATGTTTGACGCTCAAAATGAATGTTTTCCTTCCTCAGAATTTCGAAAATCTTGTTCATAACCCTCAATTTGCTGATGTTGAAGTTTTCCCGAGTCGAAACCGCATTAAATATAAAGAATGAAGTTCACTATTAAGTACAAGATTAGTTTTGCTGTGAAAAAGAGATGTATATGCATTATTGACCACGCCTGAGGTCTAGATGACTGGATATTAGCCGAGTTCTTTAGAAGAGAAGTGATTAACTAAAACTCGATAGTGTAGGACGATCTTGGAACATTTGAAGTTTGTTTGTGAGATGGTCACTGGTCACTCATGTCACTCCATCACACACATACACATGTAGTTTGCTTCCCTTCAAGCCAAACAAATACAGGCGTACACTAGCTTTTCATACAAACAGCAAACAAAAGGAAATGCCAGCCCTCCTCAAAATCATAAATCGTAATATATAATCATCTGTACCTATTCGAGAAGCTTGTTTTCGTACTTCTTTGTCCCTTGCTGGTTGGCCTCTTGCTTGAGATTTTGCATCCTCATTTTCTACCACAGATAGATATATGGACTGATTAGAGACGATAATAAAACTAACAATCTTCAAATTGCTTTTTCCTTGAAACTGAAAACAAGTGTGTCTCTTTTCAAATTCAAATAGCGCATGCAAGACCAAAACGACGAGATTAACGATAACGATAATAAGATTGACTATCACAATAACCAAATTCTCTTTCATATTGCTCCCCAACTGAATTTTTCTAGGTTCATAAGTGAAGCACTCATTATGAGGAAAACACGCAACTGGTGAACAACAGCAGTTAGGTAACAATAAGATTACTGAGCTCAGGCGAAAATTTTACAAATAAGAGTACAGAGCTCGGGCGAAATTTTTACAGCAATTCTAGCGACTTTGTGAACTGATATATGACATATATACAACAAGTTAAAAGGCCTCGAGCCAACTGTGACGCCGCGCCAGAAGGATCCAAAAGGATTCACAGTCCAAACCTCGATAAATAATAGGAAAAATATTGTAGTACACGAGGACGGACAACTTCGAGCTAAGAAAGACATATACTCAAATAAAAAGTCTAAGAAAGTTTAATAAAAACGTTTCGGTCCGAGACCTTCATCAGTTGTAATACAATGACTTACAAATTCCTTAAATAGATTTATATAGGGCGTGATGACACATATAAACAAAAACAGTAATTACTACGCGAAAAATTATCACAATAAAAAGAAATGGAAAAATTGTCGAATCCACTGAAAATGTTAAGGAACCAGCGTTGACTTGAAAGGCGAGAATTGTACTAAAATTCCCAATTAACGCTGAGACTGGGACCTTTGATGCCCGCCCAATTTGAAAAAATTCTCCGCATTAATTATAGTTTATTCTTTTTTTGGAGTGAAATTCCTGGCGCTTATTCAAGCCGAAGGGTGCCAGAGAGAACAACTGTGCGCTCCAATATGCTTCTTTGGTAATTAGAAGTTTCTCGATGTTACCTGAATTGTTTACTGTCGCCTGCACTTGATCAATGCATTGGAATGAGAAATCGCTTAAATCATGTGGTGTTTTGTTAAAATGTACCGCTACTTCACAGGTCTTTTTCTTAGTGACCATAGCAGACTTGTGGTTGCGAAATCTAACTCTAAAGTCATTTGTTGTGGAACCAATGTATTGTAGGCGACATTTCTTGCACGAAGCCAAATAAATTATGTTCTTAGAATCACAGGAAAGTTTCGATCGTATCTTGTAACTCTTGCCTGTTTGAAAACTTAAAAAGGAATTAGATTCAACCAAGAAGTTGCGACAAAGATCGCATCTTGTTCTATTACATTTAAAACATCCCTTGACCTCAGCAACCCCTTCGCTTTCAATGTTAGGGCCATAACGGGATGGCGCCAACAATTCTTTAAGGTTTTTAGATCTGCGAAAGGATGCTATGATGGAATTTGAAGGAAAAAGCTCTTTTAACTTGGGATTGGATTCCAAAATACCCAGATGTTTTTTAATGATGCGACTTACATCAGGTAAATTTGGATTAAATGTGGTCACAAATGGGAATAATTTCCTCTTAGATCTGGCATGAGTCCTAAGTAGATCACTTCTAGGTAT